CCTTAACTTCATCTTGAGTGTCATGCGTTTCAATATGTGGAGTTTGAATTTGGTATGAGCATATGGTGTCACTGGTTCTCGCATCTAAGTAGTTAGCATTCCATTCATGAGATCATATCTAAACATGCTTATTAACTCCAGAAATTGCTTTCTTTGTGATACATATATGTGAGCGTTCGTTTTCATATCTACATCAATCTTCTCACATATAACTAGTATAGGGTGTGTAGTTAGAAAATCTGAGTGAAAATTGAGTGCATATCTTGTAAGGAATTGAGTGATTTCTCTAAGGCATGTTACTACATCAAAAACATTATTTTAATCGATTAATTGTGAACAAGTAAGTGGTGACTATGATTAAGTACGTGCTTAAGTGTGAAGATGACTCAAATCTGTGGGGATAATAATTTTTAACATGTCATGTGCATTGGAAATCCCTGAGGCAAATGTTGGAAGGTTTAGGTTGTGTTTTATTTACTTTGTTTCGTTTTATCTCTTTGTTTTGCTCGAGGACTAGCAAAAGCTAAGTGTGGGGGAATTTGATAGGAGCACATTTATGCGACTTAGTTGGCTTGTTCTTGTGCATTTATGTCATGTTTCCTTAGTTATTTTAATGTTTAAAGTCATTTTCGTGTGTTTTCAGATTTTATGGACAAGTATGCAAGACAAAGTATGCAAGAAGATGCATTTTGGAGGCCTTTGGAGCATGTTTCGGGCTTGGAATGGATAGCAAATGCATGGGCCAAGTGGATGGACGATTTTGAGAACTAAAGAGGCCAAGAATATGAAGAATTATGGTCCAAAAGATGAAGAAAACAGCCCAAAAATCTGTCACCCCAACTTGCATTCCTTGCCATGCAAACCACATAGAATTCCCTTTGGATTCCATGCCATGCTTGATCACTCTTGTCCCCTACATAATTTCTAATTTCATGCTTCAATTCATTTAATTATTACACTCAATTGCTTGATACCTCTTGTTCCCTTCACTCATTAGATTTTAGACAATATTTACATCCATTACATGCACCAATTGATGCTCCATTATTCACATTTGGAATCCAATGCCATGTGCAACACATGTTGTTGCACATTTGACCCATTTGTTGACACATTTCACCTCCCTTTCCATCTCTATGCAATGTACACAATCATTCATGCTCCCTAGCTACAACACCACTCCATTTTTACCCTTCACACTTTGCATCATTACTTCATTTTCACCCTTGGACCATTGCACACCACACACACAAATTGCCATGCATTTCATCCTTAACCTAACCTGATTTTCTAAGGTTTTTGGGGGCCTATAAATACATGTTTACACCCCTTGGCCAAAGGACAATCCCCCATATTCATCATTTTATCACAAAAATTCGTCCATACACACCCTAGGAAGCAAAACACCCCAAAAACACCATTCTAGTGCCTAGAAAACATAACAGCCACTCCACCTTCTTCCACCCTCTTTGCCTAGTTCTCCACCACCCTCCAACCATCAAACACTCCTCCACACTCACCCTAAACCCTTCCATACCATTCCCCATCCATTCTACATCATAAAACTACCCAAAATCTGTCCATAACCCAATCTGCCGCAAGCAAGGGAAAGGAGGAATCTTGGATGCACTTGCTACCAAGTTGGAGCATTTTAGGTGTTTTCTTTCCTTTGATTTTAATGTCTAATTTTATGTATCTTTGCTTTGTGAGTATGAGGAACTAAACCCCTCTTAGTTAGGGGGTGATTCTGGTGTAAACTTGCAAGTGCACAAGATAGTCGTAATATAGCGTGTTGCAAGTCCAAGTATCGTTCCCACGAGGATTCTAATTAAATCTCCAATTTGATAAACTAAACCAAATCTAATAATATTAATGACACACAACCCCAAACAACGAACTAGACTCGATCTTAATTAATAAATCAATCAAGGATGTAAAGAATTTGTTGTGATGATTTTATAAATGAACAAAAACAGAACCTTAAGTAAAAACTGAAATCAAAGAAAAGAAAATGTTGTGTTTTAAGGCAAGTGATGAAAAGTCTAGGGATTCGGAATCAACCACAAGCAATCTAATTTAGGTTTCAATGCATTCAATGGATCTTTCAATTCTTTAGATGATAATTCTCGTATCTAAGTCCTTGTCAGGCACATTAGACCATAGTTTTCCTTAAGTGAATGATTCTCTCCTAGTTTAGGCAGAGGTCGTATATCCTAACATGCAGTCTATCCTGGTTAAGGCATAAATTTAACAAGTAGGACTCTTTACGCTCTAGAAAACAAGGGGAACCAAGCAAACCATTATTCTTTGTCAAGCAATAATGTAATTTACCACACTTAACCACAAGAAGCTAATTGAATTATATTGCTAGTTCAGCCTCAAATTCATCTTCCAATCTTACTAGATGCAAAGTCCTAAGGTGATCAATCAAAGAACTCAAACAAATAGTAACAGTTCAAACAGTGATTAAGCATTCATCTAAAAGAAACTAGAAATCCAATGAATAACATTAAAAACCATAGACATTCATGCTAGGGCATCATCCTAACCCTAGAAAAAGAGTTTAGTTACTCATAAAATAAGAAAACATAATTAAAAGTATTAAGAACATGAAAAACTTAGGAAAAATGGAAAGCGGCTTCTGCTCCTCCAAAAACACGCAGAGAATCCCTCACCAGAGAACCCCCTTTTCTTCCTACAATCTCTCCCTTATCATTCGTCAAAATCCTAGCATCCTTAGGTCTTTTTTTTAATCTTTTCCTCATTTGTATTGGATAATTGATGATGTGGCAGGTAAGTTTCCCAAGTAAATTACTCCAGACCCATTTGAAATAGGAGTAAAATCATCTCCAACGTTTTCTATCTTGGGCTTTGGGCTTCGACTGAATTATGACTTGAAAAAACCCAACAGATTTTGCAATTTCCGCGTAGACTTGGCTGACCGACGTCTTGTACAAAAACTTTCATAACATCGTCTAGGAAACTCGAAATCACAGTCCGTAAAATTCCTCTGAAAGCTAACATCCATATCTTTCCCATGGTATAAGGCTCAACAGCTGGTTCATTTTGAGGAAGTACAGTTTATTCCGTCAAGTTGGCTGATCTGCACAAACAGCTTCTGCTTCCAGGGCACATAACTCACTTCAATCGCCAAAATGCTCATTTTTCTTCTTTCTTCATCTTCACTCTTCAAATCTAAGAAAAACATAAAACTAAATGAAACAAACTAAATTCACTCAAAAACATAACAAAAATCTAAACTAAAGGGCATTAAAATGTATGCAATATTGGTCGTATCAGATTCGAAACTATGTTCATACTTGCAATATGATTTGATTACATCCAGTTGTGATTCATAAGTTGTGAATTCAATTTACTTATCCGTTCATATAAAAACTAATTTGTGTATGTTGGTTAAGAGTGCACGCTTAATTTTCATGTATGAATTTGACGCTAGAATATAAGGGAGTTTCACCTAATTGTTATAAACTTATATTCACAAGTAGTGAAGGTTGCTAGTCACAATCACGTTAAGTAAACTCTTGGCATAAGTTTCATGCAAATCATAGTAACGAGTGCCTCGTCAATGCTTATGTTTTTCATAGAACTTAATGATTCTTGCTTGTATCTCTATTATGCAATTCATGTAGGGAACTTGTAGGGAATGTTTTGGGTTGTCGTATGCAATCATCCAACCTAATAACTTGTGGAAAAAACTGAGGGTTAATTAGTGCAATTCACGGTTAATTTGGGGCGTTGAGTATTCATAGCTTATCGAAAAGCAACTGGAAATCGTTTTGTATGCAAGTGTGACATATGTGGAGAAGAACCTCTTAGCTAATCTTCCATCCATAAGTTTCATTCAAATTCACTTACAATCTGTTTTGTTTTCAAATTCATTAAAACCAAAATCCCCCTTTTACTTTATTGTTTCAAAGTGTTTAATTTCTGTTTTGGTTGTGTGTTAGAGTGTTTTGATTCACCCAAATTTGTCTAAGAATTTGTTTACTTTGTTCTTGTCTTAATTTAATTATTTTCGTCGAAAATCAACCCCATCTTATTTCTTTGAGTCATATTAATTAGAACTTGTCTTAGATTATGTTTTTAAGTGTTTTAGTTCATTAGAAAACTAAAATTTGTCCAAGTTTGTGTGAGAGTCCCAAAACTGCCCAGATTGTGTTTTTAAGGTAGTTTTGAGTGTTTAGGGGCTGTTTTGAGTCTTTTGGTTTGTTTTAGTGTTTTAAAGTATAGTTTTGCATTCTTTGAGTCTAGTTAGTGTTTTAAACTTTGTTTTCACGTTTTCAAGTCAGTTTCCAAGTGATTTAGCAATCCCTCCTAATCCCCGGCCTAGAACGATCCCTACTTACAAACTTTACTACAATTGATAAAAAGAGGGTTTAATTTGTGTGCTTATATATTTCGCATCAAGTCACAGCAGTGGTGTAGCGGGTGTCTCATCAGTCTTGAGTGGAGTGGGGTGGGGGAGAAGTTTTGGAAGAAGCTATGGAATGCAAATGTTTTGAGGAAGGTGAAGATTTGTGTTTGACGTGCTTGCTTGGATTCTTTGCCTACACGGTTGAACCTGAGTAAGCGGGGAGTGATGGGTGAAGAGGTGTGTGTGGTTTGTGGGGTGCCAATCGAATCAACGGAACATGTGCTCAGAGATTGTAGCTTGGCAAGTGCAGTGTGGGTCCGAAGTCTGAGGTTGAAAGTGGTTAATGGGAGTGAACGTATGTCTCTTGCCCAGTGATTGGGGAATATTGTGTAGCAGATATCCATGGTGAGTCTTAAGCTCTGTTTGATTTTGCTGTGGGCTTTATGGAAGCATCAAAATGAGGTACTTTGGAATAGGGCTCGACTGGCACCACACGAGATTGTCTTGAAGTCCGAGGGATGGTTACATGAGTATCATAAATGGCATAAGCCTGAGACCTGGAAGGCAACCAAGAAGTGTCAAAAGTGGAAGAAACCTGATGAGGGGTGGATAAAATGTAACTTCGATGAGCCGTGGAATTCTAGTGGTCATCGGGGGAAATGGGGGTTATGGCGTTGTGGTTAGGGAGCACACTGGGAAATTTGTTGTAGCCATTGCGGGACCAATTGAAAGTTCTGTGTCGGCCCTTCACTCGGAGCTGATTGCAGCTCAATGTGCGGTGGGGCTGGTTAAGACTTTTTCTTCGGGTGATGTGAAGGTTCAATTCGAAGGCGATTCTAGTGTGGTGGTGGTGGCTATGAAGGGTAATGGGGAGAATTACTCAATGTGTGGCTCTATGATAAATGATTCGAGGTCTTTTATTACAGAATTGTCGAATGCAGTGTGTAGCCATGTCCGGAGGGAAGGCAATTTGGCAACCCATCGACTTGCTCAAATGGGGATTGGCGGTTCTCAGGAAGTTGTGTGGTTCAAGGATCCTCCAAATTTGCTCCAAGACATTATTTGAGGAAGGATTGTAATTTCTCTTTATATTGTCATTTGAGGATAGGCTTGTTGTTTGTGCGGGACATTCTTTTCCTTCGACCGGGTTGAAATCCCCGACAAGGTTTTTATTGAGGCCCAGTTTGCACCCTATCCTTAGTTTGTATGTATTCCAATTCTCTTTTAATGAATATTGTACTTCTTTCAAAAAAAAAAAAAAAAAAAATTCGATCATTTTTCAAAATTTTAATATTATTTAATTTTGTTTTTTCAATAATATGTCAAAAATACGTATCAGATACGTGAATTGTATGCCTATTATTGAAAAATATGTCTAAATAACATGTAATAAATATGAACAGTACGTATGCACGTGTATTATACACAATGTTTCAAAAAACGTGCCTTCAAGAGCACCTAGGGCGCTATTTGGAGGCATGGCGGTGGTGAAAATGCCCTTGCTCAATAGGAATAGTCTTAAACTCGCTTAGATGTGGTCGAGGCGTGCCTAGGCGGCTGAGTCGCGCCTTAAGGTTTTTTGGGCTTTTTTTTTTCCTCAAACTAACCCTACCCAAACAATGTCATTTTGCCCAGGTTTTTTCATAAAACTTGCAACTCGTCCTCTTTCTTAGACAATTCGAAATTGCTGACCTTCCTTCTTCTCTGAGTTCTACGGAACAATGAAACTTTTGTGACACTACCAACTGACGTCACCATGCCACTAAGAGTAGTTTCACAGGGAACTCTTTAGGCTGGCACCCAACCAATCCACTCCAGCCCAGCAGATAGGCTAGCACACAGCCCAAGCTAGTCTCCAGGCTAGCCCAGAATCGATAGAGCCATGGATCGGCCCATTGTTAGAAATGTTCCCTGATGCGAAATATATAAGCACACAAATTAAACCCTCTTTTTGACAATTGTAGTATAGATGTAAGTAGGGTATCGTTCTAGGCCGGGGATTAGGAGGGATTGCTAATCTATTAAATTAACTTAAAAATATTAAATAAGACTCAAGGACACAAAACTAGGCTAAAAACTCTAATAACTCGAAACACACTTAAAATGACTCAAAATAATGAAAACAATTAAATTAAACACTAGGAACTGAAATGGACGGAAATTAAATTAAAAGACTAACAATAAAGAAAACTAAATAAATAATATAATTTAATAATGGATGGGTGTTTGGTTTTGATGAAAAGTAAATTAAACTTAATTAAATTACAGAATTGACAAAAACATGAAATTAAGGTGAAAGGATAAATGACGGACTAGCTAGAGGGTTCTTCTCCACACATGACACATATGCAACCTAAATTGATTTTCAGTTGTTTTCTTTCAATAAATTGTGAATCTCAATACTCCAGATTAACCGTGAACAGCACTTTTTTAATCTTCAAGTTTTCCTTAAGTTATTGAATTGGACGGAAAAACGCATACAACAATTCAAAACATTCTTCAAAAGTCCCCTACGTGAAAAGCACAATAGCGATACAATCAAAGATCATTAAACTTTGTGAAAACTATAAGCATCGACGAGGCATTCGTAACTATGAAAAGCATGATACTCTTGCCAAGAATTTACTTAACGTGATTGTGACTAGCAACCTTTACTACTTGTGAAAATAAGTTCATAACGATTAGGTGAAATTCACTTATATTCTAGCATCAAATTCATGCATGTAAATTAAGCGTGCACTCTCAACCAACATACACAAATCAGTTTTTATACGAACGGATAAGTAAATTGAAATCACAACTTATGAAATCACAACCGAAGGTAATCAATTCATATTACAAATATATTCATGGTTTCAAATTAACCTCTAGCCAAAATAAAATTAATTACACATTATTAAAATAAAAATAAAATAGGAGTTTGGAAAGATTAAACCGAAAGAAAGGATCTGCTGCTTGGACTCTGAACTGCATGGACTCTGAACTGCATTTTCATGCTGACCTCCTGTCCTCCTCGCCACTGACTTCCCTTCCTCAAGCTGCTTCACGCTGCCCAAAGGGCAGCCCTCTCCTCTCGGTCCTCTTCCTGCGTCTCTGCGAGCTGCCCTCCTTCTTTCTGTTTTCCTGTGCTGTCTGACCTCGCTGCCAAAGGGCAGCTTCCCCCTTCCCTTCTCTCCGCAGCTTCACGCTGCCCAAAGGGCAGCCCTCTCCCCCCACCAATTCCCCCGTCTCACTTCTATATCCTCCTCCCCTCACTTTGCTTTTCGTGTTTCTTATTCCTCCAGTCTGCCAGTGCCTCTCTGCCCTCACTTTCTGCACGCTGTTTTCTGACTCGCCAGCTGCAAAGGCAGCTCCCTGACTTCCTTCTGCTTTCCGTCTCTCCCTGACCTCACTGCCAAAGGACAGCGTTATTCCCCCCGTGTCTCTATCTCACGCTGCTTTAAAGCAGCAGCCTCTCCCTGCCTTTTATTTTATTCTTTCCCCTCTCTGGCAGCCTTGCTGCCCTCAATTCTGTCGGTCTTCACAGCTTTCCACCTGCAAGGGCCCGCATCAATCCCTTCTATCTCTCCTCTTGTTCCAAAATTATTCCCCCAGCTGTCTCCCTATTTTTCTTTTCTGACCTTTTACTTTTCTTCCGCTGGCAGCCTACCTTCTTGGATTCTCCTTTCACAATATAATACAAAATTGATTTGTATCATAAACTCTAAATTAGTAGCAGTTTGGGAATTAAGAACAAATTCAAGTAACAAATCCAAAACCAATATTCTATGAAACAATCAATTCAATGCATATAAAATAAACCAAAATAAAACCCAATCCAAAAATAAAATCAATATTCTTTCTGTTTATTATTTAAAACTCATTTATGCTATTTTTATTTTCTTTGCATAACAAATCCTATAAACACAAAAATAACATAAATAGCTCAAAAATATAAGGAACTAACTAAGAAAAGACGAGTGAATTCGAAGTAAAAATATATATAAATATGATCCGATCATTCCCTAAAACCAATCATATGATGATACTTTACGGACATTTCACATATTAAACTAATGTAGTTTAAATATAAAGGGCAAAGATTATTGTTTGAGCCGTCTCATATAAATGTTATATGCTTAAACGATAAGTCCAAGGAATATGTGATTGGGAGAATGTGATCTAAAGAAGTTAGATTCATGAGACCATTATTTCGTATACACATCCTAAACGTTCCTGATCATAGGATTGCCAATTGGGCATTGACAGTCCGTTAAGATCAGTACGTGCTGTGTCTTCTCTCAAGGAGAGTGACTAGTCTCGAGTCATTGGTGTGTCTGACACCAAGACAAGTACGTAGGTGCTCAATAGAGAATGAGTTCACAGAACACGATCACGACAGAAACAAGTTCTCAAGATTCAAGATTCTCATACTCATGTCACATGAGAACTCATAGTTGGGATAATGCAAAGTAGTCATTTGACCTGAGGCATCATAGTTGTCTTGTGGTTAGGTCCTTGATCTTTGATTATGTCAAAGTCACCCCATCTGCGGGTGTCCACGGCATCGTTGGGGTTAAGCCACTTAGCCATGGAGGCAAGTGAATCAGTCCAGTTTTAAACACTTTCAACTCCATTTTGAGCAAACAAAGGGAATTTGAAGGTTTTCCTTGGTATTTACGAACTTTAGGTAGTCTAATGATGCGAAATATATAAGCACACAAATTAAACCTTCTTTTTATCAATTGTAGCAAAGTATGTAAGTAGGGATCGTTCTAGGCCGGGGATTAGGAGGGATTGCTAAATCACTTGAAAACTGACTCAAAAACGTAAAACAAAGTTTAAAACACTAAACTAGACTCAAAGAATGCAAAACTAAACTCTAAAACACTAAAGCAAACCAAAAAAACTCAAAACAGCACAAACACTCAAAACTGCCTTAAAAACACAATCTGGGCAGTTTTGAACACCAAACACAAATTTGGACGAAAATAGATTATAACTTGACTCAAGACACTTAAACACACAAACTAAATTGATTTGTAACTAATCTAACACTTCAAAATAAAGGGGGATTTGGTTTTGACGAAATTGAAAACAAAACAAAAACATTGTAAACTAAACAGATTTTAAAACGAATTTGATTAAAGTGAATGGATGGAAAGCTAGCTAAGGGGTTCTTCTCCACATATGTCACACTTGCATACAAAACGATTTCCAATTGTCTTTCAATAAACCATGAATTCTCAACACCCCAAGTTAATTAGATACGCTTAAGTCAATGAATTGGATGGAAAAAGCGCATCACAATCAAATTATTCCTCAAAAATTCCCTACATGAAAGTGCATAATAGAGATACAATCAAAGATCATTACGTTCAATGAAAATCATAAGTATTGACGAGGCACTAGTAACTATGAAAGCACATGAAACATATTCCAAGAATTTACTTAACGCGATTGTGATCAACAACCTTTACTACCAGTGAATATAAGTTCATAACAATTAGGTGAAACTCCCTTATATCCTAGCATTAGATTTATGCATGAAAATTAAGCCTGCACTCTCAAACAACACACACAAACCAGTTTAATTCAAATAGATAAGCAAATTGAATCCACAACTTATGAAACGCAATTGAAAGTAATCAAATCATATAGCAAGTATAAACATGGTTTCGAATCCCCCCTAGCCAAGGGGGGTTTAGTTCCTCATACGCACAAAGCAAAGATAAATAAGTTTAGACATTGAAATCCAAAGAAAGAGAACACCTAGACACTCCAACTTGGACAACAGGTGCATCCACGAACTTCCCCTTCCTCCTTGCTGCGGCACAAAGTTTGGGGGACAGGTTTTGGGGTTATGAATGGTGTAGAATGGATGGGGGATATTATGGTTGTTAGAAATGTGCCCTAAAACCAATCATATGATGATACTTTTCGGACATTTTCACATATTAAACTAATGTAGTTTAAATATAAAGGGCAAAGATTATTGTTTGAGCCATCTCATATAAATGTTATATGCTTAAACGATAAGTCCAAGGAATATGTGATTGGGAGAATGCAATCTAAAGAAGTTAGATT